TGCGGCGATGAGGGAGCGCGACCGTTGGGTTTCCCGGCGGTGCAGCGATGCAGCTGGGGTTGAATTTTTTGGAACTTGAGGCTGCGCCGCTGCTGGCCTTCGCCAGGCAACGTGCGGCGGAATATTTTTTCGTGTCAATTTACCAACCGGTACCTATTTTCGTGTCAATTTGCCAACCGTCACTTTTTTTCGTGTCAATCTATCTCAGCCCAAAATTTTCGGGTCAACCCAGGAACCTCGCCCTCGGTGAGCGACGAGGTTATACACGACTCTTTTTATTGGCGGCGTCAGATGACCGCCGGTAGATGGGAGGAATCTAACCATACCAACACCCAGTTGCAGCTGCAGCAGCAGACCGCTCGCTACTTCTGCTGGCTGTGCGTCGCTACTTTTGCACTCACTACTGTGGTGCGTGGTTCGTGCAAAGAGCGGTCCGCAGGCCCGCAGGACACAAAAACAAAGGGGGTACGCGGCAGACAAAATGAGGGTACCCCTTGATCGTATATTCTGCCCAGCCCCCGTTGCTCAGCTGAACAAGTTTCCACAAGCTGGGAGTTTCCTTAACGCGAGCGTCCTTAGAGCGGGGTCGACTGTACCACTGCTGTATCCCACAACCAAATGCTACTCACACCTCCGCGTTGTAAAAACAACACGATTTGGTCTCTGCTCAGTACCGTACCTTCTAACATCCGTACCGCTCCACCTGAGGCCGACGCGGACACGTTCCGCGGGTGACGCAACAAATGGCATTGAACTATGTACATCACAAATTTGTATTTTTCCCTCACATACTGGCTCTGCCGGAACGTGCGGTGAAGTAGCGCACGCCTCGCGATGGTCCTGTGCGAAGTGCCCAACTCGTCATCATCAGCGGATGTCGCCGTCGGTGCCTGTGGGAAAACCCGAAGGAAGTAACACAGTGGGAGAAAGAAGGCAACAACGAGCAAATTGAGGCAAAGGCTCAACCAAACGGAAGTTCTGTTTAATTGCTGATGTCGTCGTCTCTCACTCCCCGGCTATGTCGTCACGCCCTGCGATCCTTCTCGTTCTGCGAATGGCGAAAGTGGTTTTTGGCTTTTAGTCCGTGGGTAAGGACAAGGAGCACCGCTTGGTGAAGGAGCACGGCTTTGTGCTTGTTCGATGTTTTCGTGGAACAGAGTGCGCCAAAATGCCGTCGACCACCGGCAGGCGTGTGGCAGTGGTGTTGCAAGGATGCAAGGATAAGGATCCCGGTCCTGGTCGCTGTTTTCGATCGATAGGAAGGAGCGCTTCAATACGGTGAGAAAAGGTATCAACGGCTGGGAAGGATGCAAGGATCCCGATCCTGGCAGTGTTTTGATTGATAGAAAGGAGTTATTTTACTTAAATTTACGATCAGAAGAAGATGCCAACGGCCGTGTGCGGCAGCAACACCTGCTGTTGCCAGTACAAGCCGCGTTATACATGGCGAACAGCAAAAGTCCCTCAAATCATGCGGTGTTGGGTCCTATAGGCGCAACACAATGTGCTTGCCTTCCGGATTGGATATTTCGTACAGATAGCGCCCGCACTTAGGAACGTCAAATTTGGCGTGAGGCTCGACGCTAAGACTATTGGCTGCCTCAACCCCAGCACATGTTCTTATGGCCATGATTTTATTCCGATCAGACATTTGGTCGCTGAAAACGGGGTTCTTGTTCGTATTTCACCGTCTAGTGCTCCAGAGGCGCACCAGGACGCCCTTTGGTGACTCGCAGCTATGTACATACATCGATAGGACGTGGAAATTGGCGTGTAAGTTCATGCGGAAAAATAAGTTGCATCATCCCCACACAGCACGTCCATACTTCGCCGTACCATGCCCATACTGTCCATTCACCAGGCACCAAGAGTACTGGCCGTCGACTTGGCCGCATGCTTGTGCAACAGACTTAGACCGGATCACGCACCGCAGCAGCTATGCTCGCGGTTGAGTACAAATATGAAAACAAACTCCGAAGGCTTCAACCTTCTTGGTCGATAAGGGTCACGTTCGGCCTGCGTTCCCTTCCCGCTCTACTAACGCCCAACGTGGCTGCAGCTCCGCCCCCATCCACCTGCTCGACCGTGCTCCTCTCAAGCAAGATCCACGAGTCCACCACCGCATCCGGATCTCTGTACATTTCCAACGGCAGCTTCATGCTGCGCGTACTTTGGTCTAGGTCGAGATGCACACGGTAGTCGTAAAGGTGGCGAGTGCGCTCCTGAGACTGTCGAGTGATTATCCCCCCAAGCCAACCCATGCCCAGCCTAACGAGTAGTCCACGCTGCAGTAACGAACTGTCAAGAGCTGCCGGTGTAGATGCTTGAATGCGAAACCCATCCGGAATCTCCATGGCGTGAATCTCGTTGTCCGATTCCATGCTGTCGTCGTCGTCCACAAGACGTAGCTCGTCCATCTGGCCACTGGCCGTCTCTGCAACGACGGGCACAAACGACAATGTCGCAGAAACTGATATATCATCTACGCTAACATATGTTTAACGGCAACGGCAAGGGCAAAAGCAACAGCAACAGGAAACGCAACAACACCCAAGCAGGGGAGTGAAAAACCCTGGTAGGCATCCAACTTACCACGAGTGTCTTCGTCGCTAGAATCGCCGTCCTCCACTCCCTCGCCGCTGTGGTCCCCCTCGCCCTCAACCGTCTGCTGACCGCTTCCTGGATGCAGACGACGCGGCAGCGTGGTCTGAAGACAGTGTAGGTCGAGCGCTGTTGATGATGCCCGAGATGTCTCCATCAACCTGCGTGGTCCACTCTTCTTCCGAGAGCACGCCGCTGCTCCTCAGGTCCCGCGCCAAATCGAAGGCCTCCCAGTCTTCGCTCGAGAGGGAGTTGCCCTCCCTCACATGTTTCTTGATCACCTCGTACTGTCGTTCAAGGATCACGCCCTTTGCTTTGAGTGCTGCAAGCTTCTGGAGCTCCTTCAACGTCGCCAAGGGCAGCGACATGATCGCCCTTCGTGCAGACAGAGGGCTTGTTGCGTGGCACGCACCCGAGGAAACCCGAGGGCAACAGAACCGAAGGGCGCACAGCGATATCCCACACACACACCCTCCTGGTTCGCTAATTTTTCGGTACCCACCCTATGTTGTGGAAAAAAATACTGGGAGGGGGGAGGGAAGGGGTGACGCTACCCGCCGAAGTTCTTGTCTTCCAGCGAAGATCTGCAACGGACCCCGTTCTTATCTTGACCTCGAGTTTGGACACCTCGATACGGGTTCTTGTTCTCATGTCACGTCAGAACTGAGCACCTGTTCTTATGGCCGAGTTCTTAAGTTTTGGATCTTTTTAGCCCCATGTTCTTACAGTTGTGTTCCAATTTGCGGGCGCCATCTTGTTGTTGTTGTTGTTGTTTCTCACATTAGCTCTATAGTCCACAAAAAATGGGGAGCCCGTGGTCTCAAAACCAGGCACGTACGACGCCGCGAGAAAACAACAAAAACTAAAATAGGGTACAAACCGCTCGGAAAAAGAAAAGAAAATGATAGAAAGGAAAGAACAGGTATCGCACCGACCGTTCGAGAAAAG